CCCTCCCGGGTCCCGTCGCCGCCCGGGTCGCCTCAGGCGACGCCGCTCTCCGCCCCCTCGGCGTCTCCCCACCTCCCTCAAGTCTACCGTGGGCGATTCCTCACTGGGAGCTTTTCTCCGTTGACCTCCGACTGACGATCGTGTGGGCCCCCGACTACTCGGAGGGTTCTTTGAGGGCAGCTTATACTCTTGTTCACATCCCCTCCGTCTTAAAAAATTACGCCACTCCCTGAACCCTGCCTCGGCTCCGAGTCTGCACGTACTGACCTGCCCCCTCCCCCAGCCAGGCTTTTAGGCGTAACGAAGCGCTGTGTTGATTGACTTACTCACGGATTTTGCCGAGCGCCTACTGTGTGCCGGCCCCGCTGGGATGCAATGGCGAGGAGGTTCTTTCTCCTGAGCCTACGGTCTGATGGGAGGAGAGGAGACAGACGTTTTCACAGAATCAGATGAGCAAATGGAGAATTATAGCTGTGGCGTGATAAGCTAGAGGTCAGAGATAACTTTTTGGTAGGTCGGGAGAGACTTTTCTGATGAACTAAAGCTTGGTCTGAGATCGGACGCCGTTATGCAAAGAAGGGAGGGAAACTCTCAAAGCAAAGGGAATAGCGTGTGCAAACGCTGGTGGCAGGAGGAAGCTGGTGTGTACAAAGGCTGAAGAATAGCTGAGGGGGTTGAGCTAAGAGACTTGAATGGTGTGACATGAAGCTAGATCCAGAGGAAGCACGACCTTAGCCATAACTGAGGGGTTTGGTCCTTATTCAGAATTCAAAAATTTTAAGCAGAAGTGAGTCAAGATCAGATTTGCAGGCGAAAGGTCCCTCTGCAGGGGGTGCCAGAGTGGATTAGGGTAGACCAGTTAGGCTACTGCAAAACTCCGGGCTAGAACTGTTGGAACTTGAGGGGTGGCGAAGAGGGAGGCCGCCAGAGGTAGAGAGAGAGGGAAGAAAGGGGCGTTACTGAAGACGTTTAAGAGGGAATATGGACAGGGCTTGGTGTTGAGTTGGATGGGAGAGGGGGAAGGGAAATGTCAAGGTTTCTGGCTACATAACTGGATGAATGATGATACCATTCCCTGAGCAAGGGCCCTGGAAGATGATCACTTTTGTGGAGGGCATGCAGGGGAAATGATCATGAATTCAGCTTTAAACATGTTGAGCTGGAGGTGCACTTGAGACATCTAGTTGCTGTCAAGTAGGCAGTGGGATATATGGGTCCTGAGTTTGGAGAATTCTAAGCTGAATATATAAATACTTAAGTCACCTACTTCTAGGTGGTTATTGAAATGTGAGCAGATGATTGCTTAAGAAAGGTGTATAGAGTGAGGAAGGCTCCAAAGCACGGCCAGAAGGAAAGGCCTTAGATAGCAAAAGGGACTGACTTCTAATGACAGCAGAAAGAAAGCGGATGGGTGCAGGATACATGTAGGTTTGTATGTTTGATTTCTGGAAAATGAGAAAATTTCCTTTGATGTCTCCTGCATTCTTTGTGAAGTAGAAGTAAGGTCGTTTGTTGAGAGAGAAGGGGAATTCTAAAGTTTTAAGAAAGTGGAAAAGTTATAAGATAATCTTTGTGGAAAATGAGTTGATAAGGAAACATGGTAGGATTGCTGAACAAGGCAGTGTCCATCTGAGGCTGGTTAATTTCAGCACTTCTGCTGTAACCATTGCTACACTGTCGTGTCTCCACTGGGCTCCTGCAGCAGCCTTCTAACAGGTTCCCTGCTTCCTTTCTCCATCCCCCTCTCCCCAACCCACCTTTTCTCACAAAGCGCCTAGAGTGATCTTTTAACAGTATAAATCAGGTTACGTCACTTCCGTGTCCAGAACCTTTCAGTGGCTTCCTATCACACTAAGAATAATTAAATCCAGGGTCCTAAACCTTGCCTATAAAGCCCTGTGTCGCATGGACTGGTTCTCATCTCCTACCACTCTCCAGTTCAGCCAAGCTGACCTTACTGTTTCTTGAACAAGTCAGACATCTTCCCACCTTGTGGTCTTTGCACTTACTATTCTCCCAGCCTGGAATATTCTTCTCTCACATCTTTCTGTTGTTCGTTGTTCTCCTTTCTTCATTCAGGTCTTTGCTCAACTATCACTTTTTTCAGATGACAACTCTGTCTGAAACAGCACTCAGCTCCTTATCCTGTTTGATTTTTCTCTGTTCCTCTTCTCACTTCCCAACTAGCATGTGAGCGCCATGAGGGCAGGGATTTAGTTTTGTTGTCTGGTGTATATTTCCAACACCTGGAAGAGTGCCTAGTGCACAGTAGGCACTCAGTAAATATTTGTTGAATGAATGAATGAACAAATAGATATATTTATTACCTGTGTTCTCCCTGAAAATGTTAGTTCCTTGAGGGTGGAGACTTTGTCCTTCTTTTTTTCTTTTCCTGTATCTCCACTGCCTAGTGACCTAAGTCAGAGTATGTTACTTTTTTGTTATTGACTGAATGAATGAATCATGAACATATAGTGGAACCAGTCTGCCCTGCTGTGCCTGCTGTGTGGCTTTCCAGGATGCTCAGCTGCGCTTCCCACTTAGCTCTCTGTGTACTGAATTCAGGCTTCTGTCCCACCATTCCATTGACGAAGCTCTTACTAAAGTTGATCGGGTTACTAGATTCAATGGACACTTGTTCAGACTTTTTATCACTTTGTGGGTCCTGTTGACCCTGCCTCTGTCTCCAGCCTCCCATCTCCACTGACAACCCAGGTTTAGGCCCCATCATTTCTCACTTAGGTAACACAGTTACCTCCTGAAACTGGTCCTCCTACTTCCAGGGTGCTTGTTCTCTCCTTTCACACTGTTGCCAGGACAATCTGTCTAAAAGACAAACACAAACAAAAAACCATTTATGATACAATTGAAAATTTGAACACTTCTGGATATTTAATAATATTAAGGTATATATATGTATATGTATTAGTTGTGTTAATGGGAATGATATAATGACTGGGAATATCATATTTTCTTCAAAACAGTATAGGGGTGGGGAAGTGGATAGGGGTTTGGAGGGGTCAGGATTGGCCATGGGTTGATGGTTCTTGGAGCTAGGTGATAGGTACATGGGGGTTCATTATATTATTCAGTCCACTTTGGTGTGTGTTCAAAATTATCTAGGTTGAAAAATTTTTAAAAATCCAAGTGTGATCATATCCTTCTGCTTGAAAGTCTTCAGTGACTACTTAGGCTAAAGCCCAAACCATATAGCACACCTGGTTTTTCTGACCTGACCCTGACACCATGTCCAGCCTCAATTCTTGCCATTTGTCTTTTCGTATCCTGTGTCCAGCTGCATGGAGTCTGTGATTCCCTGAATTCACAGTGTTCCTTCATGTCTCTGTGCCTTTGTATGTGCTGCTCCTCAGCCTGGATGCCCTCCCTGCCTTTTGGCTTTCCCTAGCTCTTCCATACCCAGGTCAGGTATCACCCTCTCTAGAAAGCCTCCCCTGGGGTGAGTGGAAGCATTCTTCCCATTGTTGTAATTGTCTGTCTCCCTCTGCTAGACTCTCAGCTCTTTGAAGACAGGGACAGTCTGACTTCTGTGTTTCTACAAGTGGTTGGCACTCAATAAATGATCGTAGAATAAATGGTTATTCATCTTTAACTTCCCGACACCCAGCATGGTGCTTAACACTTGCTCGATAAATGTCCATTGAGCGAATGCTGTTGAATGTGAACCACTGTGTTTTTACTTGGTGTATATAGGAAGCTGTGCTCCCCACAGTCTTGAGGTAGGGGTGGTAGTTGAGAGTAGAACTGGCTGGCAGGTGGGGCCCCGTGGCTTGGCGGTTAAGTGCGTGCGCTCCGCTGCTGGCGACCCGGGTTCGGATCCCAGGCGCGCACTGACGCACTGCTTCTTTGGCCATGCTGAGGCCACGTCCCACATACAGCAACTAGAAGGATGTGCAGCTGTGACATACAACTATCTACTGGGGCTTTGGGGAAAAAAAAAAAAAAAAAAAATTAAAAAAAAAAAAAAAAAAAAGAATTGGCTGGCAGGGTATGAGAAAAAGCTGGGGAATCGTCAGAATTACTTTCTCCCAGCTTTTGTTTCTTCTCTGCAGGCATGGGTTGGAATTGGAGCCACTCCCCCGACCTGACTACAACCAGCATCATGTGGTTACTAACTGCTCTTCATTCACTTCTTGATGCCTCCCAGAAAAAAACGCCGCCCAAGTTGCCAGAAAGCCCAGCTGCTATTCCACCATCAGCCACTGGAGAGCCCCAAACACCGCTATGGATCTCCACAGCTTCCCATCACCTACACTAGGCAGGTGCCCAGCAAGCCCATTGACCACAACACCATCACTTCCTGGGTAGGCCATGGATTCTTACTGTGACCTTTACTCTGTTAGGTTTCTCACAATGCTGACTCTTCTGCCCCTTGAACCAGGGCCTCCAAAGAATAAGAAGATTCATAGGGGCAGGGACAAGGAGATAATATACTCTTTCTGTCATCGTCAGCCATCTTCTCTGGTATATCTTCTTTTCTAAGTTCAAACTGAGGCATGGTGTGGTTGGAATTGGAGTCTCCCGCCACATTCCTCTGAGAGAGTTCGGTATCAAAGTTTCACCTCCCACTAGCTGGGCGAGAAAGCCAGATAAGTGGCAGAACAAGTACAAAATGGGATTGTTCCCTGAGCTTCACGTGAGAAGTAAAGTATTTGGGTAGGTACTCTATTTACTGTTTAATAGTCTGAACCTTGAAAAAGAGCCACAGAAATGGCATATGTCATATTTTGTTAAAAGCCCTGGAGAGAGAACATAGCTCCTATAAGTCAGGGAAGTAGAATAGCAAAAGAGCCAGACAAAAGCATAAACTCTGCCTGAGAGTGCTTAATAAATGTAACTTGTCGGGGTTGCTTGGAAAAGCCATAATATTTGCTTCAGGATTGTAGAAGAGACTTAAATGTTAGAATCCTGGGGATGAGAAGAGGAATGAAGTTTGTTGAGAATTCATTATGTGCTAGATCCTATGCTAGTTATTTTGCATACGCGGTCTCACTCCCTATTCTTGCATTCAGCCATTCATTCTTTACTGGGTCCTTTCCTGTGTCAGGCACTCTGCTAGGTGCTGGGGATCAATGGTGAATAAGGCTGGTCGCTGCCCTCAAAGTTTAAAGATAGTCAAGTTGCAGCCGTATGGTGTGATAAAGTGAAAGAGGCATTGTCCCCTTTCTTACACATGAGGAAACTGAAAGCCAGAGAGATTAAATAACTTGCCCAAAGCTCATATCCTTATCTATCAATATCACATTAGACAGGTGTTTTTGTTTTGTGTCCATTACTATAGTAGGCCCCCATTTGGGATTCTGGACATTGGGTGTAGTTTCCTTCCTGAGGTTTGTACTTGGTAGTTGGCTCTCCTCAGCTTTTTTTTTTTTTTTTTTCATCCTTAGGTATCACCTCAGTTTGATACAACAGCAGAAAACTCGTTCCCAGCCAACCGGAAACGTCGTCGCCGAGACCAGGCAAGACATTCAAGTCGAAAATCTACCACCTCCAAGTTTCCACATCTAACATTTGAGAGTCCACAGTCTTCTTCCAGTTCAGCCACACTTGGGATCCCCTTAACCGGGGGATACCCCAATCAATCAGAAAAGGACATTTCCAGAAGGCCCTTCGTTCCAATGCTCAGTCCCCAGAGCTGTGGGGAGCTGTCATCACACGCACTTCAAAACTTGCCTTATGTGTTCATTCCACCTGAAATCCGGACCCCAGAGTCATCTTCTGTGAAGGAGGGGCCCATTCCCCCAGATCAGAGGGAAGACAGCCTTCCAAGCTGCTCCCTTCACACTAGTACTCCCAAGAGCCCAGAGCCTGGGCCTGTTCTGGTTAAAGACACTCCTGAGGAGAAGTATGGGATAAAGGTCACGTGGAGGAGACGAGGGCACCTGTTTACTTACCTCAAGGAGAGAGGGAAGCTGAGCAAAAGCCAGTTCCTTGTGAAAAAGTGACTGGGTTTCTCAGATAACAGTAATCCCAAGAAATTGATTGCTGGTTTTCACAGAGTTGCTCAAGTCACTTTTCTGGCTCACAAGGTAGCACATCGATAGAATAAAGTGGAAATAATACCAATAACATCAATAGAAAAAGATATTTTAACTAGACCCCTGGAGTCATAGGGAATTCAATTCCCAGATTTACTTTTTTAAATATCTTGTCATAAACAGTTCTTAGTGTCATAAACTGTTTACTTCATATTTTTCTTGTATTAACTGTTTCAAATTTTAACATATCTTGTAGTAACTGTTTAAAATGTATGTAAGCAAATGGTTGCAGGAAGTTTTTAGAGAACCCTGCTTCTGACTGCCCCCTCCACAGAGGGTCTTTCCTAATCGTTTCCTTTAGCCACTACTCGTTAATCCTTTAGTCACCTCATGCAAACCAATTCATTCCACAGTTTTGAGTACTGACTCTGTGTCAGGCTCAGTGGCAGCTTCCTCTATGACCTGATGGATGGAAAAAATCTAAGCAAATTCTGTGACTTTTTATAGTTGAGCTGCCGCCTCTGCAACCTTGGCTCCTCTGCTGAAAGGAGAAGATTGAAGAAGGGGCAGCAAGCCCTGTTTAGTGAATACAGTGGGATCAGGGCAGGTGAAGGGGACATGAGTAAGTTACTTAGGTTTGCTGTGTTTTGATTTTTATTTCCAACCGAAGAAATCTCTAAATATTAAATAGGATGGGAAAATGATTTCTTGCAGTAACTGTTTGAAATGTATGTAAATAAATGTGGAAACTTTTCAGAGAACAGTGCTTCTTATTGTAATTAATGCGGGACTACCCAGTCAACAAAATGTTTCCACTGGCCTTTCATCGATACAAATAGCATTTCATTCAACTCCATTCATTCAGCTTTAAGAACCCACTCTGTCAGGTCCAGCCGAGCCAGAAAGCAGGGATTATTGTGTTTGTTTTACGGACGGGAATTTGAAACACAGATGGTGAACCACGCTCAGGGTCGCATGGTGGGTGGAGGCTGGCCCAGTGAGTGCCGTGCTCTGCTCTTCTCGCTTGTGCCAAGTTCCATGCCTCTTAGAAATTCAAAACCAATGTGGAAACAACTTTGACGTCGGAATGCTATAAACTGAGGTCAGTGTGCAGTAACTGTCCGGATGTTTTGTGGGGACCATAACGCTGTATGTAAGTTGGTGGTGAGAAAAGAAGTGATGGTTGGGGACAAGATTTACTGGAAACGATAGCACAGATTTACACAGCGGATCTCGTCATGGAGTATGGATGTTTGAAGACGGTCCATAGGCTGTAGAGAGAGGTAACGGAAAAGATTGTCAGGAGAGTCCGTGGAGAAGGTCTAGAATGCTCTAAAAGCCTGGGCTGGAGTGGGGAGGCTGAAGGAGTTTTGTGCAGTTGAGTGCAAGACCAGGTAACTACATGAAAGATGCATTTAATTGGGTGTGACTGCTGCAGAGGGGACAAGTGTGGCTCCCAGGAAGGCCCTGGTGTCAGGGAAGGGGCCGGTCTGTGAGGGAGCGGGCAGAGATCTGCAAGCCCTAACATTACAGCCCTCGGGAAGCGCTCTGAGTGGTCTCAGTACAAACGGCAGAGGATTGGGGACGCCGCTCCGCGCGTGGCGGCTAGCGGGGGTGGGCGGCCCCTCCGACGGACTGGCTGCCTCGCCGCGGGAGCCCACGCGGCCGAGCGGGACCCAACCCTCGGCCCTCAGCCCCTTCCCGGCGCCGCGCTCCAGGGCCGGAGCCCCAGCGCGTCAGCCCCGCTCCGGCGCAGGCGCCTCGCCTCCCGGTTCCTCCGCCCCTAGAAACCCTCCCGCAGCGCCGGGCGGCGGCCACAGCCAATGAGACAGGAGCGGCGGCACAAGGGCCAATGGGCGGCGGCGACAGTGCGGGGTGCGTTGCCAGGGGCGGGGCCTGGCTGCCGGCCAGGCTTGCCACCCTAGCAGCGGCGTCCCGGGGTCTGGATGTGGTTGCCTCCCTCTGGGCGGCGGGGATGGAGGCGCCGCGCTGCCGGCTCGGACCCCACGGGGACAGGTCAGAGACGGGTGGTGGCTGGTCTCGTCTCGAGCGGGCGGAGGGCCTGAGACCGCGGCCGTCCTTGCGGGGGCTCTGAAGCGAGAGGGCTCGGTCGGGGGACGAGGCGGGAGGCGAGCAGAGCACCCCTTTTACAGGGGCGCGCTGGGGAGCAGCGGCTCTGCGGCGGCGCCGGGAGTGGGGCCTTCGTGTTCGTGTTCAGGTCCCAGCTTGGGAAACTCGTGGAGCTTTTTACGAGCTCGCTTTGCCCTCTGTGGGCCTCCTCACTCGGAGCGCGTTACCCTGGCCCTCGCACTGCCCAGCGGTGTCATTGCTGAGGTTGCATGAAGTCTCCGGGCTGTTGAAGCGGAAGGTTCTGGGTGATGTTTGATAGTTTGCTTAATGCGGTTGCGTCGGGCAGGCAGTGCTGAATTCTGCAAGAGTCCGAGGGCTGAAAATGCAAAACTAGTCATCTTTTGCTATCTGCTTCTTAGTAACTCGCTCTTATGCGGCGTTGTCTGTCGTATTTGCAGTGGACCATGCCCCTTGTTTGTGCTCCCCTTGCTCTGCCATGCCCCTTTTTTCCTGCCTCCGCCAGAGGGAGGGCCTGGAAAAGAAGATCCGAAATCTCAGCCTGCCAATTTCTTGCTAGCTGGATTAATGAAAAGTTAACGGGGAGCAGTGTGAAATCATTGGCTTAAAACTTTGGCATTGTCTGAGGATTTATTCTATTACCATAGCAAATAAAGATTTAGCATGTAAGGACTTAGTCTGATATTTAGACTAGTCGATGTTTAAACAATTGTAAACCATTTAAAAGCATTGTCAGGAAGGAGGCGTTGGGGTAGAGAACACTCATTTTTCTCTTTCATCAGATTTCATTGACGTAATAGCTGCGCTCTGTGAAATGTGTTCGCTGCTCTTTTTTTTCAAGTGGAGAGAAAAATATGCTACATTTACGAGTACAAATATGAAAATGTTAGGAGGAGGTAAAGTTAAAATTCAGCGTCTGTGTTGAATTCAGATGGTGCTTGTTAAGTTGTGGTCACTCAGTAAATCTTTTTTGTGTGTGTGAGGAGATCAGCCCTGTGCTAACATCTGCCAATCCTCCTCTTTTTTTTTGCTGAGGAAGACTGGCCCTGGGCTAACATCTGTGCCCATCTTCCTCTACTTTATATGGGACGCCACCACAGCATGGCTTGACAAGCAGTGTGTTGGTGTGCGCCTGGGATCCGAACCTGCAAACCCCAGGCCACCGCAGCGGAGCGCGAGCACTTAACTGCTTGCGCCACCTGGCTGGCCCAGTAAATCTTAATTGAATGAATTTCAGGGAGTAAATTTCATGGGTACGAGATGTTTGATATGACTCATGATTTTTGAAAAAAAAAAATTGAATTGACTGAAATTGAGACAAGGAGGCAAAATGGTTTTTAATTTATTGGACTTGAAGTTTAAAGGGATAATTTAAAAGTTTTTCTGTCTTTTTTCTTCCCAAAGAAACCAGCTCTTTAATTTTAAATCCAAGGAAAATGTGTGAGTCACGGAATGTTCCTCCTGTGGCAGGTACTGTTAGTGCAGCTTCTAGCACAGTTTAACTCATTCGTTGCTGAGAGAAAGTGGAATAGGTCTTGCTTTTTTGGCTTTAATGGTTTTGATGAAATACATTGATAGAGTTTTTGGTATTAATACCTTTCAATGTGAAAGATAACATCTGACTTCTAAGTTTCTTGTGATTTTTTTCTTCTTTAATTATGTGACTCTTTTACCATGAGGCGGATGTATTTTCAACCAAGTATGGTAGTCCCCTCTTATCCGTGGTTTCTTTTCCCGGGTTTCAGTTATTCGTGGTTACCCATGGTGGGAAAATATTAAATGGAAAATTCCAGAAATAAACAATTTGTAAGTTTTAAATTATAAGCAGTTCTGAGTGATGAAATCTGGAGTGGTCCAGCTCTGTCCCACCTAGCACGTGAATTATCGCTTTGTCCAGGTATCCACTGTGTGTACCTACCGGCCTGTTAGACCGTTAGTTAGGGAAAAATAGTACAAATGGGGTTCGGTACTACCCGTGATTTCAGGCACCCTCTGGGGGTCTTGGAACGTTTCCCCTGTGAATAAGGGGGCACTACTGTAGAAAAATTATTAACAAATAAACTCCAAATGTTTTTCCTATATCTGAAATATTTAGTGGAAATTGGAGATGGAATTTGAGACAGCACTCTTGGGACTTTTGTTGGGGCTAGGCATTTTGTATCATGGGTTCCCTGGAGACGACAGTGGTTTGCTACTCCTACAACTTGAGCTCCCTCTGGCCTTTTGTTCCTGATAGAAAATTGAAGATGTGATGAGAGAGACTTTTCTTTCTCGGTGTGATGAGAGAGACTTTCTCGGTGTGATGTGACCTTGTGACCCAGAGTTGACTAAGAAAGTCCTAGTCTGTGGTTTATCCATATGCCATGATTTCTCTTTAGAAATATGAACAGTAGTAGTGCCTGAAAGTTATGTCTTGGCCAGGCTTGTTATCCTCTCTCATGTTCTCTCTTTTTAAAATGTTTCATCAGATGGACTAATTGTTGGCAAACAGACTTACCCAGTGCTTAAAAATACTTAGATTAACTTATACATGACCTCAGTATGTTTGGCAAATATCGAAAGCTATGGTAAAGGCCTAATAACATCTAGTGTGCGTGTGTTTTCCGAAATGTGAAGGCTACATACAGACCTAGGAAGGAAAGAATAATCCCTGTAATAAATTTCCCTTCTTCCAAGATCCTTCTGTTCCAAGCAGACAGACTCAGATAGTTTTTGGAATAGTTTCATTTCTGGCTTCTCTTATTTCCTGTGGAAACTCCGCTGTTTTCCCTGCATTTGTGCCTGTTGAAAGAAAAAGTTAATGTTTCCTCTCAACCAAGAGGAAAAGTATGCTTGAATTACTCAGAGGAGTTGAAGCTGCGTTGCTTCTCCCTATTTGAGATTTTAGGACTAGGAGGAGCCTTGATAGTTCCCTTAGTTTTTCTGTTCCAGAGTAGTTCCACAGTGGAATTGTTAAGACTTTTTTCAAACTAGAATTTCATGTAGCCTGCTTTTGCTTTATTTCCTCTGGGTCAATTCACTAGGAATAAGCTCTTTGTAACTCTTAAATCTGTTCTGCCTCATCAGACATCTGTACTGTTAGTAAGAACGAAAGCTGCAACGTTTTCCTGGCCGGGTTAAAGCTTGAATCCACTTATGCCTGAGAAAGGACACATTATCCACATCTTGCTCCATGTGCTGTCTTTATTAACTCACTTAATGCTTGGTGTGAGTCTTGATAATGAGGATTGTCATCTCTGTCCCTTTGCTGTAGAACTTCTGTGAAAACATTTGTGATTAGCATTGTGTGATAAGAGTCACCAGAACCTCTGGAAGACCACAGTTCTGAAAAGGATTATAGTAATACTTTCATTGTTTATAAGATGATATTTGCTGTTTTACCACATGGTATTGTGGTAATGGGGAAAACACTGGAAACTTCCACTGGGTCCCTGAGTTCTAGTCCCAGCTTTTTCACTGTCTAGCAGTGTGGTATTGAGTAGCTCATCTACTTCTTTGGCTTCAGTTTTCTCCTCTGGAAAATGAGGAATCTTTGGATTCTTTCAATGATTTATAATGAATTAATAAAATAACTTATGTTTTTAAACTACATATGGCTTAAATTTCAAAAGGTACAATTCAGTGAAAAGTGTCTTCTTTTCTCATTGTTTCCATGTCACCTAGTTTGTTCATTGGTAGGTTTCTTAGGGGGCCTTCCAAAGATATTCTATGTATTAAATAATCTCTTAGGGCCGGCCCCGTGGCTTAGCGGTTAAGTGCGCACGCTCCGCTGCTGGCGGCCCAGGTTCGGATCCCGGGTGCGCACCAATGCACCGCTTCTCCCGCCATGCTGAGGCCGCGTCCCGCATGCAGCAACTAGAAGGATGTGCAGCTGTGACATACAACTATCTGCTGGGGCTTTGGGAGGAAAATAAATAAATAAATAAAATCTTTAAATAATCTCTTAGTATTCCTTTCTCACTCTTTTTTTTTAAAGATTTTATTTATTCATTTTTTTACCCCCCAAAGCCCCAGTAGATAGCTGCATGTCATAGGTTCACATCCTTCCAGTTGCTGTACGTGGGA